GTTTGGAGCCCCAGTGTAAAACACCGCTGCCCTGAATGACCCAAATTGAGGAGCAAAGGATAGAAAGGTGGGCACTGCTTGTAAGCCATTTGGAGGAGACACCTTGCACTACCCTCATTGTAAGTGTTCTGGGCGAGGCTGCCCAGCTCCTGACACTCTATTGGGCAAAGCTCCCAGTACTTCAATCTGACCCAGCGTCTCTGTGGACAAAGACCTTCCAATTCAGGCAAAGTGCAGAAAAGTTCTCTCCTTTGTTCTGGGTTCATTTTTGTCTCTTGGGCCTTAAACAATACTGACTGTGCCTTTCTCCTTCTGATAGTTTCTGAAAGGGCGAGGGGTACGCCCTCCATCTTGCCCCGAATCCTCCATTTTGGGGCAGCCATGTGCTTGGCAAGGCTTCTTCCCGGAAGCCCAAGCCTCTGCTAGCCATACCCAGGACTTCTTTAAACTAACCAATGACAATCAAGGGAAGTGCGCGCCATAGATACGACCACATCCTGTATAACGAGATACCGACTTGCGCCTGGCCAATCAGCAGGGCCCACAGTCCTCTCTCCTCTCCTTACTATAAAACCTCTCTCCCCACAGGGCTAGCTCTCTCTCTCTGCCACTTGCTGCTGTGCCAGTAAGGAGGTTAGGGGAGCCAAGCCTGGGTTTGAATACAAGACTCTTTGCTTTTGCATCGGACACGGCTGGCTCCCTGGTGGTCTTTTGGGGATCTTGAAATCTGGGCATAACAGTTTCCTGTCGAAGACTCTATCCCTGGGCAGCCCATCCTAGTGTCTATTACTGTGGTTCCTCACTCCACTGCCCTTGCAAGCACTCCATTCTTCACTCAAAACAAAACTCTCAAGAATATCAACACACATTCCTGAACAGGAGTGGTGGTGAGTGTAAGGACAGAAAAAAAGGCCTTTCTTTTTCTTTGCTGTGGCTATCTACAATTTATGAGAAGCACCTGGTAATTAAACCCTAAGATTATTAGCTTCTCTGATTCAAATTGCCCCTCTGTTCAAACTGCAGAAGAGAAAGAGAAAGAGAGAGAGAGAGAGAGAGAGAGAGAGAGAGAGAGAGAGAAGCTTCACACAACTGAGGCACACTTTTCAAATATTTGTAAGCAAATTTCTTCCCTTGGAATTGCAGTTTGAGAGCTTTTGTACTCTTTTTGATTGGATTTTTTTTGTTAGAAAATTTCAATTGTTATGGATATCAGTTTTTTGCCATGACACTTGCAAATGGTTTCTCCAGCTTGCCATTTGTTCTAATGTGATCTGCGTTTTGCCAAATAGATGTGTTACATTTTTATGTGATCAAATCTGTTTTTTCTTATCATGCTCTTTGATCTTGTGTCTTTTTACTTCCTACTTGACCAAATAATATCGTCTGAATGTTTCCATTATCAGATATAACATTTCTAAATACTTGTTAACTAAAGATATTTACAACTGGGGGATGCAAAGAGTGAAATGCAGGAGAATATACTTGTTAACGAACCTCTTTGATCTTGGAGGAGAGGTAGAACATAGGAAACAATTTCCAAGAAAGCACCCTTAAGAGTTTGAGATGAATGTTCAGGAGGAAGCATGCCAAGGCCTGGGAGTAAGAGATTACCCTCCGGGCTAACAGATGAGATGAGTTGGGGCAGTGCTAAATGCTCAGAGGCTAATGAAGTGGTAAAAAATGGTAGTGGTAATGCTCCCGAAATATTTTCTGGGTTCCGCCCTAGGAAACAGTTCATCCAGAATAGTGTAACCAAAGGTAGTTAAATGTGAAGAACCATGCAGAGATGATCCGGTCCGGGTCCTTATGGAAAAGGTAGAAACAAGCCCGCCCACAGAAAGGAAGTCTCCAAGGTCACGGAGCAGTGGTTACAGCCCATATGCCTGGTTTTCCTTCATGAGAATTTTGCCCTGTGAGAGAAGCTCATTCTCTCCAACCCCACAGTGTCTGCAGAACCAAGAGTGTCAGGAAAGCGACACACTTCACCTCTGCTCATTAGACTGTATTGGCAGGCGCTGCCCGCAAAGGCAGGAGGCTGGTGACTTAGATGGCCCAGGGGGGCTGTGGAGGATAAACCCTCACCAGACACATCTTCCCTCCCTCTCCGCATCTGTCAGTCCCCCTCTGACCTTCTAAGATGGTCAGCCAGCCAGAGGGAGCATTGGGAGGACTTCCCAGACAACTTTGCATCATTATTCGTTTGGCAAAATTTAAACATTTTTTTTTCCTTCTGAGAAGGGAAAAACAATAACATCAAAGGTGTTATTTATTACACGGCCACAGCTAAAGGGAAGTCATTCCACAGTATGAATTTTGTCCTTATCTCCAACCCCTGCTCATTCTGCATTTTCTCCACGTCCATCGTTGACCTCAAGATTCCTTAGTCATCTTGCTTGATGCTCCTAATTCTCTCATCCTTTCTTATCTCCCATTTTCTCATGTCCTTTCCCTGCTTTCTATCCTTCTTTCTGGGTTCAGCCCCAGGAAACAGTTCATCGCTTTTGCTCACCCTCCTTTTGTCCCATCCCTCCTTCTATCCTCACATCTCATCTTCATGCCCAATCCTGTCCCATTGACCACTTTCATATCTTTTTCCCCATCCCATTTCAGCTCATCCTTCCAGTTCCTTGGCTCCAAGAAGAGAGCACAGAGCAGATGAGCTCCAGGTGTAGCCATGGAGCAGTTTTAGGAGTGATACAGCTGAGGGACATCACAGCAGAGCTGCCAGGACAGGGTACCTTCCGATGGAGGCTGGAGAAGACACACAAATCAGGAATGGATGAGCTGAGGCTGGATGAACACCAAGAAGTGGAAATTCTCTGAGCTGGAGCTGCACTTTTGTACTAATCCTGAAATTAAATTCAGAAAGAAGCATCACGCCCAGGGACTACATCATGGATATTTTCTGAGCTAGGAGTTTTGGGAGAGAAAAGTAAGACTTTGGAGGAGAAGGTTATGTTGGACATTCTACATTGAAAAGTCTTGGGGATATGGGTGGAGCATAAGCGCTTACTCTTTCAAAGGCTTTGCCATATATGTGAGGAAGATGACTCAATAAGAGAGAAAAATACGGCAGAGGATGGAGATGAAGCATACCTTTTTTGACCTGAAGATATGTCATTTATGCATTAATGTAGCTTTATTTAATAGGCTATTTCCCTCTCTAGACTCTACCTGTCCCCTAGATATCGTACGGGGTTTTTATGCTATTAAAGAAAAGGAACTGATTTTCTTAGAGGGGAAAGGCGAACAGAATAGAATATTCCTTGGCACTAGTTTAAAACAGCTTTCTGCACCCTGATCTAGAAGGAATCTCACATTTCCCATGAAAAGAAAACTTCAGAGTTCTATTCTTGGCAATTAGGGCTGTGATTAAGCAAATAATCCTTCCTTGTTGCCCAGAACTACCTGGCTTCCAAGGTGTCAACTCTACATGGACAGTGAGCATAGCCAAAAACAAGGCAGCAACCTCCCAGGGCATATCATAACCTCACATCCCCTTATCTACCTGTCTTTCTCTATAGCACACATCACGACGCGATCTATCATATATGATGCTTATTTATTTCATTTCTTCGCTTTCCCTTCATTAGAATGTGAACTGCAAGACTTAAAAAAAAAAATAAAAACAGAAAAAAGAAAAGAATGTGAGTTGCATGCGTGTAGAGTAGTGGTTCTCAACCTTCCTAATGCCGCAACACTTTAATACAGTTCCTCACGTGGTGGTGACCTCCAATGTCATTGTTACAAATTGAACATAATTAAAGCATAGTGATCCATCACAAAAACAATATGTAATTATATATGTGTTTTCTGATGGTCTTAGGTGACCCCTGTGAAAGGGTCGTTCGATCCCCAAAAGGGTCGCGACCCACAGGTTGAGAACCGCTGCTGTAGAAACTTTTGTCTATTTTGTTCATCTGTGCCCTAGAGGAGCATTTCTATCACAGAAGCAATTCAATAAATAATATTGTCTAAATAAATGATGTACGATTTCTTTGCAGGACAAACACACCGCACAAAAATTTCTGAGATGAAAACCTGTAAACGAATCATCCATAATCATTTCCCCAGGTTCCTGGCTTTATGGGAAATTTTCCTGAACCCAAAAAAGGCAGAAAAGGAGAGACCCTATCACCCCTCAGGTCAACAACCGCCTCCCCACAAACACCCGCCACAGGGCACCCTGACGATTTCTTTGCAGGACAAACACACCGCACAAAAATTTCTGAGATGAAAACCTGTAAACGAATCATCCATAATCATTTCCCCAGGTTCCTGGCTTTATGGGAAATTTTCCTGAACCCAAAAAAGGCAGAAAAGGAGAGACCCTATCACCCCTCAGGTCAACAACCGCCTCCCCACAAACACCCGCCACAGGGCACCCTGAACATCAGGGTTCCTGAGGCTGTAGATGAGTGGGTTCAGCATGGGGTTGATAACTGTGTTGAAAATCCCAACCCCTTTATCCTTATCTGAAGCCTCCTCTGTACCCAGACGCATGTAGTTGAAGATACCAGTCCCATAGAAGAGGCAAACCACAGTGAGATGGGAGCCACACGTGAAGAAGGCTTTCTTCCTGCCCTCCACTAACAGCAAAGAGCAGCAGCTCATTGAGTTGGGTGCTGGAGCAAGAGAGCGGGAAGAGCTGTGGCAGGTCACAGTAGAAGTGATTGACCTCATTGGGACCACAGAAGTTGAGTGTAGTTAGGGCAATAGTGTGGATCAGTGCATTGGTGAGGGCACAGGCCCAGGACACAGCCACCAATATCCACTGGACTGAATGGCTCATGCGGGTGCTATAGGTGAGGGGCCGGCTAATGGCCAGAAATCGGTCATAGGCCATAGCTGTCAACAGGAAGCAGTCCACACCAGCCATAAGGTAAAAGAAAAATAGTTGGGAGAGGCAGGCATCATAGGAAATTGTACGCTTGTGGGACAGCAGACGACCCAACATTGCAGGAACAGTGACGGTGATACATCCAACATCTAGAAAGGATAGGTTCCCCAGGAAGAAGTACATGGGGGTGTGGAGTTTAGGCTCCACCAAGATGGCAGCCAGGATGCTGAGGTTGCCCCCAACTGTGAGCAGGTAGGCAAAGAGGAAAAGTACAAAGACCAGAGACTGCAACTTCTCTGTTTCAACGAGGCCCAGCAGAATGAACTCAGTAACAGCAGTCCCATTGGTCGCAGCTTCTGGATCCATGAGTCCCTGTGAGGAAATGTCCCAAGCACGGAAGCATCAGTCCACCTAATGTATTTACTCCACATAAATGTTTTGAACAACCTATGTTCACAACTCCCTGACAAGTTCCCAGTGCTCCAGCTGATGGTTTCCCACCCCCTACTACCTCACTCATGGACCTACCACCACCTCAAAGCCTCTATCCTGCTCTCAGATGAGATGCCCTGAACCCCCATCACCTGTCCCTCCCATACTCTCTTTATTGAAAGTGCCGGAATACTTGGGAAAATACATTAAGAAAAAGGCAGGCTTTCTCTTTAATATACTAAGATTAAGATGGAATTTCCCCATTTTACGCTGGGGGATTAGCCCAAAGCAATAAGCATATTTCAAAATAAAAACTAATGATATTTCTAGTAAAACTATGGGGCATTTTATAATATAATCTAGGGTTTCCAGGCTTTTCTAAATAGTGAATATGGAGCAAAGATATGGCAAGAATCAGGGCGATGAACCACATGAGTGTGGATATCAGACACTGTAGCCAAGTACATTTCCCCAAGGTGAGGGACATACTCTGAAATATAAATTCAAAATGCCTCAGTCAATAAATAGCCAGTGTTCTTGTTGTGAATTAAGAGCATACTCTAGACTTTGAATAACAGCTTAATTTAATGATTTGTTCTCTTTATGGTATCTGCCACCTGCCTCTGAAATAAAAATTGCAACATGACCCATGGGTGGTTGCTGCTAGGAGCAGTTAGTTTTCTGCATTGCAAAACCCCTATCCTCCACTTGTCCTTCCCTCGGACATGGTCCATTTACCTATAGCTCTAAGGAGAGGTCCCCACATGAAGCAAGCACAGACATTGAGCCAGATGGAGCTAAGTTCTTCAGCTCTTATAATAAACCCCTGGTCAAAATATATTTGTGTGCCTTTACTGCTCATGGCATACGCAGAGCTAGAGCTTCACTAAGATTGTTATTCCCTTGCGGAGAACACACTGGCATCAGAGGATGGAGTCTGGTGACTCTAACAAAAGGGAAAGGGTGATGAGGGCCTGAGTTCACACAGATAAAAAGTTGGATGCGGTGAACTCTAACATAGTCTTAAAATTCTAAGAACACATACTTCGTGAGATAGGAAGGGGAGGTCATCCTCAGGGGTAATCATCATTTATGAAACTGATAATTGATAAATGGCTTTGCAAATTGACAAATCAATAGTTGGATAACAGCTAATTACATATATTAAAGAATAATTTAATTAACTACTCTCCACTTTCCCTTTTGGATCCATTTTAACGTAAGCATTAGATTATGACCCTGTGATTTGTTACGTCTTTACAAATGCTGTTTTCTTTTTTTAAAATTTTTTAAAAAATATATATTTTATTGATTTCTTACAGAGAGGAAGGGAGGGAGATAGAGAGTTAGAAACATCGATGAGAGAGAAACATCAATCAGATCCCTCCTGCACACTTCCTACTAAAGATGTTCCCGCAACCCAGGTACATGCCCTTGACCAGAATCGAACCCGGGACCTTTCAATCCGCAGGCCAACACTCCATCCACTGAGCCAAACCGGTTAATGCCCAGGCTGTTTACTTTACCTGAAACTGCTTCCCTCCAGCTCCACATGGCCAAGGATATGAAGATTTCATTCCAATACTGGCTGCTAAATGAATTCTTTTTTTTTTTTTTTAAAAAGTCTCCATCTCAAAAAAATCTCTCTCTCTTTCTCTCTCTCTCTCTCTCTCTCTCTCTCTCTCTCTCTCTCTCTCCTTCTCTCTCTCTCCTGTCTCAGCTGCCAGTATACATTATTTCACGGAACTTATTGCTGTTTACCTTCTAGCTAAGTCACTTCTCTAAAAAGCATATCTCCCCTATTTCTCTGTAGACTGATTCAGGTTTCCAGTGGCAGTACTTACCATAATACTTCACACAAGGTAGGTACTCAATATTCCTTAAATAAATAAATGATGGTTCAAGTGCTTATAGGATCTTCAAGAAAGAGGGCTCTAAAATGAGCTGGAGTTGTCAGGGAAGACTTTGTGATCTTGAATTTGCAGGAGACTTTTATGCATTAGTCTGAAGGAGGGGGAGGGAGGGGCAAATGCAAGGTGTAAGGTTGCTGGAGGACAAACTACTGCTTTCCTTAGTTTTGATGAAACAGGTAGGAAATGCAGCAATTCACACACTGATAAGTTTATTTTCATGTAAATCACCAAAAGAATAAGGCCCTTAGGAGGGTGAAACCTTCCAGACAAGTAAGTTATAGTCAGGGATAAAAGAACAACAAAACAGCTGCTGCCAACCCTCTGGTGGCCAGAGGTACAACTTACCTGAAATCAGTGGGATTCTGAGATGACCTGCAATCATGCAGTGATATCTAGAGGGTCTAACAGGGTCACCATGATGCCCAACATGAGGAGCTCACCTGTATGACCACTCTTGCAGCCTTGTAATGAGCCCCAGGTTCTCCTCACTGAGCTAAGACAGCTCCCTACTCTGGACCTCCACTAGTTCCTCCCAGTGATGAAAAGGCTCAATAAGGCCTGCGACTGGAGTGAAGGCTCCAGGCTGCCTGATGAAGATGTCCTGGGCAGTGAACTAGATTCAGGGAGTCCCTTCACACTCTCCCCTAAGAATAACAAGGAGCAGGTGACTTCATCCAGGAAAGGGGGGCCATGGGCAAAGGGGCCAGAGAGGAACCAGGACCTCCGTGCTATCTTCCCAGATCTTTCCCTGAAAAGGCTTCCCATCAGTTGCACGATGTAGAGTTGGGTTTGAGCTGATGGCAACAGAGGAGCAAAGGAAGGATCCCTGAGAACACTCACCCTGACATGAGCATAGAAGCCGGTGGGTTTCCTTCAGGGAAGAAGCTATGAGCTGTGCAGACTCAGTTATCTACTCAGAAAATGAGGAGCTACCAGTATATAAAAGAAAATGAGGAAAAGCAAGCTGACAGCTTCTCTATCCAAGGTCTATTTTCACTGGGTGTTATCCTCTGGGGAGACCTCAGAAATGAGCCCTCCCAGGAAAGAGGGGATAGGTGGGGAGAGATACAAGTTGTTTTGTAAACAACTCAAGCCCTTTATAAATATAGCAACAATGTCTTACACCTTCTGGTAGTTAGATTTCCTTTAAAGAGGCCTTATCTCTACCCTGGCCTATGGCAGGGAGTTGGGACAGGTGATATAAGTTCCACTTAATGGTGGGTTGCTGAGGCCTGCAGGACTTGTCCATATCCTTAAAGTCACCCAGCAAACTAGAGGTGTAATTAAGACTAGATACAGGTTTCCTAGGGACGGGCTTTCTTTCCCAGAGGCCAGCCCCAAGCAGGACCTTTGAGAAGAAACAAGCTTATTCCCTGACTTGCATCAGCCCTGGGATGAGGAGGAGGCCACAGAAGAGAGACAAGAGGGAGAAGCTTTCTCCAAACCCACTTTTCTAATGGGTTTTCAGGAGTGTGGTCCTTTCCCCCTCAGGGCCTTGTTAGTAGGGGCTACTGGGACTGTGCTTTGGGGCGCCTGTAATGGTTCTGGAAATGGTGGTAAAGAGCTCTACC